GGTATTTAAGAAGCCATGATCGCAGTTTTAGATCACCCCTGATGAAGACACTAGACTGGAGTGTCGAAACGTTGGGTCTTGATTACAATTCGACTGGGCTTTGTAAGCATTTATTTAAACCAGAGTAGCGAGCGAAACATGAAATATTGAATAGATATTGAGCTTAGGCTTATAAAATATTGAATAAATATTTAATAAATATTGTCTTATTGAGCCTTTCAGGTTTAAAGCTCAGTGTGGCTTTGCCAATAATGACTCTGCCATAGCTATAAATTAGTTTGACAAAATTCAGGTTTATCCAAATCAAGAAGGGCAAACCATGTATACCTTATGTATGGCACGTAGCCACGTAATTGGTCAATTTTCCCGCCATAGAACATCTAGCCTACAGATGCTGGCGTTAATAGGGTAGACGATTAGGGTGATAGGATCATGGTACTATGTTTACTTGTTGTGGAACAAGTCAACTATTTTCACATTTTTAATGCTTTACAATTATTCATTGGCATATAGTTCCTTTAATTAAATGCATTCAATTCTGCGGCTTTTTATACAGTCTTGAGAGTCCACCCTATATCCTTTGACGTAATTGTACTTATTCCTCGACAGGCTTCAAGGCCTTTATATCAAACATGCATGTTTGCAAAAATGTTGGGATATTTCAGCGAAAGTGATCAGGTGCCTAAAGTAACCTCTATTACTGAATAATAGCTTTCAAGCTTGGTTTGTTATTATTTTTCCCTCATTGGTCACTGCCTTGAGTGTTGAACAACTGTCATCCGGCAAGATTCCTGGCTTAGCGCCGAAACAGACGAAAAAGAGTAGAGAATATACTACAGAATATATATATACAAAATTATGCGAACTATTCACAAAGAAAAGTAGAAAAGGAGTTAATATTTGAAACGTAAATACACAATGAATTTACTTTGCGGGCAAATTTGTTGTAAATTTAGATAAATTTAGATACAAATTTGCCATTGAAATTTTATATGGCAAAGGCATTAGTAATTTCTTGCAAAGTCAATAAACGCAATGAATTTGCGGCGATTGTAAATTTGTTGTAAATTTAGACATAAATTTGCCTTTGAAATTTCATATTGCAAAGGCATTAGTAATTTCTTGCAAAGTCAGTATACGCAATGAATCTGCGTCGCTTGTAAATTTGTTGTAAATTTAAATATAAATTTGCCATTGAATTGAAATTTCATATTGCAACGTATTAGTAACTTCTTGCAAAGTCATGAAGAGTTAAAGTGTGTAATAAATACGCAACGGATTTACTTCGCTGGCAAATTTGTTGTAAATTTAAATATACATATGCCACAGGAAATTTGTTATGGCAAAGCCATTAGTATTTTTTTGGCAAAGTCAATTTACGCAATGAATTCAAATAATTTACTTCGCTGGCAAATTTGTTGCAAAGTTACAAATAAATTTGCAGATTGTGCAAAGCAGCTTGCAAATTTGAAGTAAATTTAGTGGTTGCAAATCCAAAACACTTCATATATACGCAAATTTATTGCAAAATTAGTTTTTGAATTTGCAACTAATTTGCAAGTGTGCAAATTTATTGCAAATCTCTTTTTTCGTCCCGTGTTAGATTTACAAGATGTAGCTTTCTGCTTATCAGTCACAAATTCTGCTAAACTGTCAGATTTTGTCAAACCATAATGGATTTCAGCATCTTGCAAACTTTTTTCTGTAGCAAGTAGTACACCTACTGTATTACAAAGCAGGTAGTACATCTACTGTATTACAAAGAACAATAACAAACTTACTTGACAACATAATGTTTGAGGAAGTACTGCATATTTGAACATGCATGGCACCACCATCCCAGAAACAGTTCTTCGCATTAACCCATCGAACCGCAATGCGCCCCAGTGTGCCCTATTTTCTTTTTTTTTACTTGTCTAACGCCAGACGATTTTACTAGTCAATGGGGAAGCCTGCAGCTTAGTGGGTTAAACTATGGCCACTCTCTAAAAATATGTGTCCCATACTGATACTTTGGATCTGTTTCGATAATTGATCGATATGAATTCAATAAGTGCCTTATCTTTCTCAAAGGTCCATTTATAATATTTTACTGGGGACTTCTTTATAGGAGTCAGATAAATCTTTCTGCTAGGAAAGTACAAAATAAACAGTGTAAACTTCAATGTTTAAGTCGGAAGTTGCTCTTCAGTTGAACAACAATCTTTTTTCAGTCGTACTGTATTTTTATTATATTTTAATATTGTAATCCAGGGTTCCGAATCAAAGCTCGACTGGATGCTATAAAATTCTTCATAATCGTATGAGAACCTAAATGGGTAAAATACGGTCAGTAGACTCAATACAGTTAAACACAAGCATATATAAGCTTAAGGGTTATATGATACTTAAAGTATGTGGAAACAACATGTATGCGTTTGTTCCAAAGAATTTGAAGAAAATAGCCATTCGTACTGTTTTTACTTCGCGCCAAATGATAACCGCGCGGTCAATTCCTGCCAGCAATGGTGAATAATAATGAAACGCAATACATGCCGGTATAGTCACCCAACCTTCTCTGCCGTAGATTCTAAAGGGGCGTACATATCGTTGAGATATTTACATCGGAAAAAATTGAATGAAAAATACGAAATTTATCGTCAAACGATAATATACAACTGTCGTAACTCCACAAGGTTGAACAGCATGTGAAGTGAGGTAAAACTAATGACTTATACATGGTAATGAGCGTCTCCAAGTTTACAAAACTTTTCACGCGTCTTAATAATGCTATAGATTTAGAGATATTTTTACATTGTGCATCAATATCCTCTCTCCATTTTAATTCTTCATCCAGAATAATCCCTAATACTTTCTTGTTTATCTTGGGATTTCCTGAATATTGTTTCTGTTTTCTCTTTGACGCTATTAACATAAATTCTGTTTTTTCTGTGTTAAGAGTTAGCTTGTTTATATCTAGCCGGATATTAACGTTATGCAGATCATTGTTTATGTACTATTTAAACAACGAGCAGGAGTGTTTTATTAGGTTTAAAGCCACGAGCGCGCAACGCGAGTGGCTTTAGACCTAATAAAACACAACCTGCGAGTTTTTTAAATGGCTTCAAAAACGTTTGCATAATAAGTCAAATCTTTATATAAAAATCTTTATATAAAAATCTTTATATAAAAATCTTTATATAAAAATCTTTATATAAAAATCTTTATATAGTTTGCATAACAATGGTCTTTTGTTAAAGTGTTCTTTAGCTGGTATAAAGACGTATGCACGTGACTAATTTCTTACTCAAGATTGGATAATTGCTTCATGAATTATTAATGAGTTTTTGAACTTATTTTCAATCTCCAAAAGCGAAGTACCAGAGCTTGATATACTGCATGGTATCGTCTGCAAACATTGAGGCCTGAGTTTCTTCTCCAGGCAATTTGGAAGATCATTAATATAAACTGAAAATAATAATGGACATAAATTAGAACCCAGTGGTACTCCGTGTGTTATTATATTCGGCTGTGAATCAATTCCTTGTATCTTTCATTTTTGTATTCTATTGCTTATGCATGATTTAAAAAGATTCATTTAGTTTTGAAATTAAAATTTGGTGATCAACCGTATCGAACGCCTTTTTAAGATCAAGGAGCAAGACACCATTTAATATGCCTTTGTCCATGTTCAATAGATACCTATCTGTTATATGCAAAGGAGCAGTTTCGATTTTCGAAACCAGATTGTTGTTTGACAATGATGATATTGTCATTTAAATAAAGAGCTAATTGGTCTGAAATGAGCATTTCTAAGACCTTTGCAATTGTCGATATTAGAGAAATTGGTTTATAGTTTCCACATTCACTTTTATCTCCGTCCTTGAAAATCGGAGTTAGTCTAGATTGTTTTAAATCGTCTGTGAATATACCAGTTAAACCAACACCAAGTTAAATATATAGAGCAATGACTACTCATATACAGTGTATCCTGCAGCGTTCAGCAACTTATTTGTGATTTTATCAAGTCATTTTGCTTTCTTTGATTTCATCCTATTTAGAACATTAGTTAAATGCTCGACAATAACAACAAATGTTTAAACGCGAATCGGCTAGTACAAGGACTATGTGTTGTAGGTGATCAACATCATTTGTTGGAATTTTTTTAGCCAATTTAGGTCCTATCTTACAGGAAAGCTTATTGAACTCATTAGCAATGTTTTCATTACCAGTAACAGTTTGTCCATCAACTTGAAGTTGGTTCACAGCTGTTCTTTTAGGTTTCCTATTAAGTAATTCATTTATGTACTTCCAACTGTCGGAGAACTGTTACTTCGCAGAAGTTGAGCAGTTTTCGTTATGCAAAATTATCCTCTCCATATATGTCAACACAAATATTTCATTTCTTCGTAATACTTCAATATGAAAATTGTAACGGGTGCTAAAGGGTCCCAAATAAAGAACATACGCTTTAAAAACCACTGCAAGTTTTCTTGCACTTCCGGTGCCGTGTGTCCCAGGACATGGGGAGGACTTGCGCGACCAAGAGCCCCTGGCAACGAGGATGGATAATTTTAGGAAAAATATTATGAAAAGGACTCGTCTAAATGACTTGGAGTTGCTTCGAGAGATTCTGGCCGAAGGACCATTTGAACAGCGCAAGGGTTCTAGAGTGATTGGAATTGTTTGGCAAAAAATATTTGACAACTTAAATGCGAAGTCTTCTCCACGCTTTAATTTAAAGTATATGAGAGCTAACAGTGCAAGAGAGATATGGAATACTTAAAAAAATGTTGAAGGTCGGGAGGAAGTGAATGCAAGTGGTATCAGCGTGGAAGAACAAGGCGAGTTCTACGTTATGATGTAGGAACTAATTTGCTTGTTTGAAAGCAACGAAAAGCGTCGAGAAAAGGAGAAGGAAAAGTAATATGAGTTTGAAAAAATCTTTGCTGAAGATACGAGACTTTAAAAACTAGAAACCATTGGTGAAACAAGGAAAAGGAAAAGCAAATCAGAGGAGGATGGTGATCTGCCTGGTGTTCTACAAAACGAAGGGCAACCTTGGCATACTTTCAAGAAAAGCACTGAAATTATTTGGACATAAAGCAGTAGGAATTCAAAGCACGAAAGCAAGAAAGCAAGCTCAGAAAATCATAGCTGCAGATGCAAAAGGCTCAGAACGAAAATCTAATGAAGCTTCTTGTGGAGTTAGCCAAGAACTGACAGGTTCGTGCCAACTTTGTCCACAGCAAACTAAACGAATGTTGTTTTACTAGTTAGGCTACAGTTGACGATGATGTTTTGAATGCATTTTTGTTTTCATAAATCTTTTAAAAGCATTGAGCCAAGTAAGCTATAGATGTTTAACATATTTTAGTATTTAATATATATATTATTTGAAAAAAAATATTTAAAAAGATCTTAACTATTATTTTTCCATATGTGGCTGTTTATGATCCTTGAAAAGGAAAATTTGATTGCTTAAACGTATTTCGTTTTCCGCAATTAATAAAAAATATTCTTCATCAAAATGTTGCTCGGCCAACAGAAACAGGAGTAAATTTTCATAATCAATGTATTCATCAGCATATCTTCAAATTTATGTTTTCCGCCATTTTTTAATTTCCCACCAACACACCCATCGAGCAAGAATTGCCAAACATTTATTTTTCTTAACGGGGACGGCATTGTCACCTCATCCCCCTACGGATTTAAGACGTAGCCGTTGCCAGACGCGTAGCGATTGCGCTCAACGGGACCCCTTAACTACTCGTGAGAGTAAGATATGATAAAAATTTCTCGATATAATCACTCACTGACTGGCTATTCAAAACAATATAAAAATTGTCCCGGCAAGCGAAATCTTCTCAACATAAAGAGAAGACAAATCCATCCTTTCAAAAAATTTAACCCTATCATAGAAAATGTTTGGCGGACTTGACTTCATCTTCAGTATGCAATTGCTGTTGTGCACCGGCAGGTGTTTTTATTCTGACACAATATTTACTCTCTTTCCAAAATTTTTCTTAATTCCGGCTTGATATTTTGAACCTAAACAGTTGCCGTTGACAGGTTTAAATCAATTTTGTCCTGGTATATAAACCTAATTAGGCACGTTCAAAGAGGTGCTTGCCTGCTTTTAGATCTACTATTATAATTGACATTTTGGAAGTCTAAATAAGTGAAAATAGTAGTTTAATTGCACTCTAATGCGCTCTACTTTATTATTTTACTCGTTAAGAGAGAGCGTTCTCAAAGCGACTCTTTAAATAGTGATTTAAATGGAGATGTTGTTTTTTCGAATATTTCTTCCACGTTCGCAGTTAAAGCAATAAAAAATCTGAAATATTTTCCGCAAGCGACTCAAATTAAACCTTTTTCCATATTTTAACATTTTCGCGGAACCCTTATACCTTTTTAAATGTGCATGCATGTGAGGGGTTTGGAAAATAGTCATTAAATAATATGAATTAATGTTTGTTTAACTAAATTATTGGTACACAACAGTGAACTGATGATACATTAACAAGTAAAGCAGCACAAGAGAAAGACTATGTGAAGTTTATACTTTATTCTAATTTCGATCGACTTACAATTTACCATGGTTAAAACCCTACAAAATAATTTACTCAATAAGTTGCTAAGAACAGTCACGAAAGTTGATTACATAATTCGATACAATTTTACTCACTCGCACATGACAGGCGATAACACAAAGTGAGTCACTGTCTATGCTAAAGACACAGAATACTGTTTCGTACTACTAAATACGTAGTCAAAGCTCACTTCTTTCTTGTCTTTTATGATATGTACGTACAGGTATTTTTAGTCCTTGTGCCCGCATTTCGAGAAAACAAGGAACACAAAATAATTCTAAACTCATCCTTATATTGCTTATTGGAGAAGTTGTAAAGGACAGGATTCAGACTGGTATTTAAAAATGCCAAGATATGCAACGCGTTGTGAATTGAATTGTCCATTTGTATGAAATTCAACTCAAAAAGGCAAAAATATATTTGATCGGGTACCCAACAAATTACCACAAGAGCAGAGGCCGCGCAAACCATTCGCGTGATCCTTCTCAATGCCAGATATGATTTAATTTTTTGACGACTAAGATGAATCGAACCATTTGTGTTGCAAAACACTCTTAACGAAGATTGCTTTATCGTGATCATCATTTTCATATAGGCTATAGACATCAGCACCTGGGGTAGAAGACCCGTTGCCATAAATAGAGACAAAATGGCCATTATATTTTCAGGTGATCCGCCGACCTGCACCCGCTTGCACACATAAGACCCGTTATCATTCCTTGAACTTTGAGCATTCAACGCCGTTCTTGTTTCAATTCCGAAGCCTGCAATCCAGGGAAGAATTACCATGGTTGCAATAACTTTTGCGGAGCTACAAAAGCGTTTGTAGGTCGAAGGTTTCCAAACGGCAAGTAAGCGATCTATAGCCAACATAAGACACGTATAGATAGATGAAACGGATAAAGCGAATGGAACATACCATGACCATACTAACGAACAATAAAGCTCTCTCAATTTCGGATGTGTAGGAAGGTCGTAGACGTCTGCAGGCAAAGCAAATCCAGGTAACACCAACAGTGTGATCGCTGTTATAATATCCTGAATAGCCAGGGCCAGTAAAAGACATGTATGAGCGTTCTTAAGCCAGTCTCGTCTCTTTATGAACAAAACAACCACAAGGATATTGCCTGTTAAAGTGACAATTGAAATAATCCCAAAGAGTGCCGCGCTAACAATTTGTTCCATCTTTGACATTATTGTCAGTCACGATATAACGCGCGCTTGGAAGTATCACGATAGTATATTCAGAACAACGGCTGTGCCTTGGCTGTAAATTCTGCAATTAAGTGATGCGTTTTCTACGTCCTCTGAACGCTTCATTTTCAGACAGCAGATGGCACCTGCTTGCAATTAAGATGTCTTCTAGTTCGGAATATCAACTTTATCAAATTTTATTTTTGTGTGTTACGATAGCCATTGATAATTACAGAGAATAACTGATGCTGATAAATATTTCTTGTGGTAAAATAAAGTAGTATTGCATTAGAGTTAGACAAAGTGTCGACGGTAAACGGCAAAAAGTCAACGGTCCTACAATGTCGTTAATAGCGTGTTTTTAAACACCGATAATATATATTGCCCCTCGGAAATGAAGTTAAATTGAGGCTGATGAACCTGATTTTATGCATAAACCATGCAGACAGTGACTACTGTGGTATATTTGTATTTTAAGTCCGCAGGATATGCGAGGCTGATCGCACGACCTAAATTTTTATATCAATGATGTTGCGTAGTCGCTAATGCTTGAAATGATACTGTATCGCTATTATAAAATTATCGTTTTTATAACGTCAGAATTGAGATAATCTAATTATCGCGGGTTTTTCGCCGGTGGCGGGTAATTTTTTCGCTCCTCGTGAGGTATTAACGCAAATCGCCGGTATTTTTGCGGTTATTTTGTCGCGGGCCTTTTCTTCGCAGTCTAATTGTTTTCCTGTCAGCGTTCTTTCTGCATGGGGGTTGGGGGTGTGGTGGGGGGGGGGATTTTTGCACGAAAAACGGCTGTTTTCATTAAAATAAAGCCGCACTAAACATTACTTTTTAGGTACAGTGGCTTTGCGAAACCAATTTTGACTTGCACAACATCAAAAATCACAATATATTAAAACCTCTGTTGATAAAAACGTAATATATGATTCGGTATCAAAATATACGCGAGGATTGATCGGAATGATTTGGTAGCAGTTTGTAAGCGTCGAACTGGAACGAGAGCGCGGCAGACGTTGCCGTTTCCCGCCGAAATTCAACCTTACGATTGTAAATATAAGACGTCTATTTTAAATAGACAATTTACTTGATTAATACTACGAATGCCAAAGCTTAGATATGCAATTGTTCTCGCTTATGGGTGTAACGTAATAAACGACTTAGAATATGCACTTTTGAATGATGCCAGCAAGCCAAAAAATCCAGATATTACATATTTAACCTACGACGATTTTTATCTGAATAATATGACTGACGATGAATGTAATACCATATTTCGATTCTATAAATAGAAATGATATATACAATTTGATTGATGTGCTTCGTATACCAGCTGAGTCCACCTGTTACAATGGCCTTAAAGTCAAGGGTGGGTAGTAGCGAAGTAGTTGTAGTTCGCTACTGTAGCGAACTACAATTTTCAAGTAGCCAGTAGTTTTTGAGTACTTTATTAATACAGTAGCTGTAGTTATAGCAAACTACATTTTGCCTAAATGTAGCCAAGTAGTTGACTACTTTTCAAACAGCAAATCGCTATTCGCTACTTTTTAAAATTGTTAGCAACTTGATAGAATAGCATGATATTGAGACACGGTTTGCTTAAAATCAATCCTCAATAGTCAATTATTTGCACTCCCGAAGAGTGTACGTAGTGCTTACAAAAATGTTGCTTTGTGTTTACTGTTGCTACTCGAAAGTCGATTTGCTATAGGTTATACATTGCAGCCTGAGTTAGTAGATGCTCCAAATACAGTAACACTAAAAAATATAGTATAGCGAAATAGCGAAATAGTTCGCTACATTTTTTAAGCAGTAGCTGTAGTCAGTAGCGAACTACCTTTGTTCAAAAGTATAGCAGTTGTTGTAGCTGACTACATATTTTTGAAATAGCTGTAGTTATAGCCAACTACAAAAATTTTGTAGTCAACGCAGGCCTTGCTTAAAGTTGATGCGGTTGAGGCTATGTGTATATTTTTGAAGCGTTTCACCTATCCATGCAGATATGCTGATTTAATACCTCGACTTTCTAAACCAGAGCCTCAGTGTGCATGCGGGCGGTGTGCGCACTGCGACCGCAATGCATCATGAGTAAAATAAAAAATTCACTCATTTGCGTTCTGACGTTCGAGGTGAAAACACTGTGTACGGCCGAGCGATGGGTATATTAAAAGTGTCTTTTGCCTTTGTTGAAAGAATCAACAGTGGCAGTACATGTCAAAAAACTTCTGGAAAAGTTTGTGCAGTCGATGCATCCTGCTGGCTGCACAAAGCGTTGGCTGTGAGTTTCAAAGATTTGGCGATGATCGCAAGTATGTTTTATTTATATATTTACTTATCAATTTGTGCAGTGTTTCAATCGCTAAACTTATGTATATTCTATTCACTTTATTGTTCTTATGACTGTATTGTTATTGTAATTATTATGCAAACTTTTCAGGGTTGTGGACATACGGTAAAAGTATGCATAGACACGTAAGGCAGTAGGTACACCCTGTTTACAAAACAGAGTTACCCTTGTAGGAGGGACAAATTTTGTCCATGTAAATAGTTTGTCTCGGCCTCCAGGGATAACTTTTCATTCCCAGGCCTTCAAACAAATAACTGCATGTTTCAGGAGTCACAATCTCATACTTAGAGCCATTCTCGTAGGAAGAGATACAATGCCAGGGCTATAAATTTTTTTCATATAAACATGCAGTGAAGTTGTCTCGTGTGGATTGGGTGTCTCTAGTATCCAAGGTCATATAAATAGCATCTAAGTAATAAAAGGTCATTGCAATGGCAATTTGCAGCTGGCAGGAAAACGCTTTGCATAACAATATATGGAGAGTAAGAAAAATGATGTGGTTTAAATTGAACCACATACTAGTTTTCACATCTAGTTTTCAAGAATTTTGTATGCCTTCCACTCACTAGAATTTACCCAAAATTAAAAAAAAATCCAAATCCTCACACCTTGCCCATACCCCTCCCCAGAATTTACATTTTATTGGTGCACAGGAATGTCACAACAATTTATAATCCATGCCAATGCATTGCTAATCAGACATTTGATCAATTTATTTTGCAAAATTCAAATTCCCATTTTTCAACGACACCCTTTTTATGTACAAATGCATAAAAAATTATAGAGTAAATTGGAAAGTAGTTGTGTGCAGTAAATAACAATTTGTTATTACTCACCTTTCAGCTTTGCTGTGAAAAAGATATTCTGTACATAATGGTACCATATGAAGCAGATGCACAAATTGCATTTATTGTGAATAATGGATATGCTGGTTTTGCCAGCCTTGTCCCCAAGCACTTTGATTTGAGGCTGTGGTTTTGCAGTGTGTTAAGATTCAGACCTGCTTGTATAGAGCATTTGCACTCATTCCCCAGGGACTGGGACACCAACATGGCGGCTGTGACGTCATGTGCAAATGCTCTATATCAGTGTGATGTTAATGCTAATACATGGATTCTAGCCTGCGAACAGGCTCTCAAGCTGAATTGAGAGCCTGCATCGATGACTAATGAATTTGAATATCTGCCCCGTAACGTTCGTTTTTCCAAATATGGAATGTCTATCCTTATATGGTGTTGTTTACAACTTTCGTGCAAACTAAATTTAGACCGTGCAAACTAAATTTAGACCGTACAGTTTATACTGTTTTTCGAAATATAAGATATTCAAGCAAAAGTTCCAATGTTTTAAATACTGTTTTCTCAAAACAGAACATTTTGTGCTTTGAGATAAGATGGCCAAGACCAATTTGATCAGTTAATGTGTTTTTATGCATAGTGCTTCAGCAGTTGACATATATAGAGCTCAGCGGAAACATATAAATGATAGCATCTGACCAATGAGAATTTCGCGTCACGATTTGAGACGCAGATATTCAAATTCATTAGTCATCGATGCAGGCTATCAATTCAGCTTGAGAGCCTGTTCGCAGGCTACAAGGATTCTAGCATGTTGTTGTATAATAATTGTTGTATAAAATGGGATGTTTTTGTTTGCATTTCGATGATGGTGGTCATGTATGCAGATATAGACTTAGTAAAACATTGTTCAATGAAGTGTTATAAAATATATGAATAACAAATTTATTGTGATTGTATATGCTTTATAAACAGCACAAGTGTAGTAGGTTTACAGTGTTTTAACAGTTTTTCTACATAACTCACAGCAGCATTCATAGAACTTCCATCCACACCATCCCAGATTGGGAACCAGGTCAGCCTGGCAGTTCAAATACGTATGCAAAGTAGTTCATACCATAACATAATTAATACACTGTGTGAAACTGCTTACATGGGTGTCCTGCTTTTAAATATGGGCTGGCCTGGGTGAGGTAAAATTTACACAGAACCATTATTTTCAACATTGACTTGGTGAATGCCCAGGTATAATGCTGCATGTACACTATTTGTGTGAGACACTATCTGTATTATTACATCCACGTAGTAAGGCATTTTGCAGCAATGTGGACTACAGTATACATGTCATATATTTCAGGGTAACGTGGTGGAAATGGCAAAAATTTTAACACATCTAAAATTAACCAAAGAAAAGTTAACTGATATGTGTATTGCAGCTGGTTGTGACTACATGGAAAATATCCTAGGTATTTGCATAAATAAGGCTAAGAAAATTGCTTGTGAGAACAAAAATTATTTCAACGTGTTCCAGTCATTGCCATTTGCTCCAACTGACTACAAGAAACGGTTCCAACAAGCACAAATGGTTTTTCACCACCAGACAGTCATTGATCCTGTCAAATACGAAACAGTCCCATTAAGTCTGTTCTTCGGTTGTCCAACAGTCTGCCATTGTGTATTGTGTCTTGCTCAATTTGACACAATTATTTTTTCCATTTGAAATTTTTTTTTTGCTTCTCTTTTGTGTTTATTATTTCGTTGCCTCTTTGTTTTTTGTTTGCTTGGCGTTTGGGACTCTGGGATGCACGAACGTTTCCCAAAAATAGCGGGAGAACATGAACACTGGACAAGAAGACCTGAAATTAGCAAAGGAAATACCATGAGATAAAAGCCCAAAAAAGATACAATATTGAGAGGCGCCAAGGGGCGCTACTAAATGTGGTCACAAATAATGATCATAGATTATGCCAATTGCAATTTTAAATGTGATGTGTGAACAGTTAAGCTGTGACATGTAAAAGTAAATAGACCAGTGTATTTGGGAAAAATACACGAGTTTACAATCAAATGATATCTTTTATCGAATTCCAAAAATTATCGATTTGAAAAGTAACACGGCATAACAATATTACATGCAACTTCCTTTTTAATAAAAAAGAAAAAGTTTAAACTTTAAAACGTGGCAGAAAATAGAGCGCCAACATACCTTTCATCGTGCTCGAAATCCACCATCTCGAAGAAAATATCCAAAATAATGAATTGCGGTCACAGTGCGCACACCACCTGGTGTGCATGATTGTAAATAGAACTAGAAAATACATGCATACAGAAACCCTCGCCTTGCTGACAAAACCATTGTATTTTCCGAACATGAAGTATCTAAAGTAGTTGTCGTGGTAACACGAAAATTTTTTAAGAATATTCTTACAAATGAAAAATCGCCTAAAAGTATCACTTTTAATTACAAAATTATCAATTTCCCAACATATATATGTTAGGTATGTTATTATAAGTAATATAAGCTTCAATTTCAAGTAAAATTCAACCACAAACGCTTCGCAAAACGTTTTAAATTAAAGTGTTCTTTATAAAACTAAACTGCCTTTACTTAAATGGCTTTATCGATAAACTTTGAGTACGTTTGCCATAAAATGATTTCAAATTTTCGCATGCAAATAAATTTGCCTTCTTTTTTATTAAAAAAATTCAATATAATAAATAAGGGAATCAATATTAATACTGACACTGAAATTATATGCTGCCTTGTTTAGTTCTTTCATATACGCAAAGTGCCAAAGGGCAAAAGGCCGTCGCCCCGTCAGGTTTTAAAGCAATTAATGAATTATAAAATCAATATTTAAAACAAACTTACCTTCGTTAACGTCGGCTCCCTTGTATTGCCTTCTTTTAGCCGATTCTTTCGCCCCATCTTTCTGAGAAAGCTTTTGAAATTTACAATATCTTGCAAAAATGCGATCAGAAATGAAATATATTTGCAAGAAATTTATCAATCATCAATAGATATCTGAAGTGATCGAGAAGAGAGACAGAAAATTATTTAGCAAAATCGTATCGAATCCAAAACATGCTCTATATGAATTGCTTCCTGTGTGTAAACAAAGGATTTTAAGACAAAGGGAACATAACTTTATTTTACCTCAAATTAAAATGGAACGATTTAAACGATCCTTCATAAATAGATGTCTTTTTAACTATTTTTAACTTTCATATAATTAATTAGAATAGATCAATTTTTTAACTGTAATAAATAGGAATTTGACATTTGTAAAGTTGCACGTCTGTTGTGACTCTAGACAATAAAGACTTTAATAATAATGGAAACTTTAATAATTTTGTTATATACTATATATATACAATTGTAAATCTCACTAATTTAAGGTAACTTACAATTGGCTATTTGAATCACAACTATATGAACTAATAAAAATGATAAGACACTAGAATGCATGAAAATATATAAATATATACAAGACAATCAAATAATAATAATAATAATAATAATAATAATAATAATAATAATAATAATAATAATAATAATAATAATAATAATAATAATGATAATAATAATGATAATAATAATAATAATAATAATAATAATAATAATAATAATCATAATAATAATAATAATAATAATAATAATGGAAACTTTATTAAAATTATATACGTATATATACAATTATAAATCTCACTAATTTAGGTAATTTATAATTGACTACTTTAATTAACACTCTACATAATAACAATATTAGTATGACATTAGTTGTGGGTTATCCCATTCTTTGTTACGCTTACAGAATATATAATACGAGGACCTGATACATATGTTAATAATTTTCCGAACATAGTACTTTCTACATTGTTCATCAAACTTTAGATCCTTTGGCATTTCGGTGAAATCTAGCGACGGGTGGCTGAAAACTCCTAATGAGCTAATCGATAAATTAACAAATTTCACTTTTTCATAATTTTTGAGCTGTTCGTTAATTAGATCTTGATATTTTTGTCTTTTTCGAGTTGCATTAGTGAGGAGATTAGATTCAAATCCGACGGTAAGTTCAAGTATATAAATACATTTGTTTTCAAGTGTTATCAAAAGATCAGGGCGCAATTCATCTCCGGTGATATAGCAGATGGACTGATATAGCCAGGAAGGTCAGCATAAAGGTTACAATGGTTCACAGATTTAAGTATGGATGCTATGAAGTTAAGCACCGAATCATGATAATAATAATAATAATAATAATAATAATAATAATAATAATAATAATAATAATAATAATAATAATAATAATAATAATAATAATAATAATAATAATAATGGAAACTTTTTATTAGATATTTACGATATACTATATATACATTGATAAACCTCACTTAATAAAAGGTAGCTTATCGATGTCCACTTGAATTGAGTTTAAAGCTAAAATATATATACAGGTGAAAATCTTTTAAATTTAGTTAAAAGTTTAAAAGTTCTGGGTTGTTCCAGTCTTTGTTTCGTCTAAAGAATATATAATACGACGTGCGAATACAAGTAGCAATTATTTTCTTTTTTACATATTTAATACATTGTTCGTCGTACTTCAGATCATGGAGCATATCAAATAAAGTATTCGTCGATTCACCAAATACACCTAAAGAGCTTATAGATACATTAACAAACTTAACTTCATCATATATATTTTCTTGATCGGTAATTAGAGTCAAATATTTTTCATGTTTTCGATCTGAGTTAGTTTTCAGGTTTGTTTCGAATCCAACAGTTAATTCAAGAATGTACAAAATCTTATTTTCAATTGTCAATAGAATTCTTAGGAAGTTTTGAATGAACCGATTAGGAATATGTTCTTAGGAAGTTTTGAATGAACCGATGACCATAGGGAATTGAATGTCAACGTGGAGTTTTTCACGATGTTTGAGAAAAAAGAAACTTGTAACATTAGGTTATTTTGTAGTCGCTGTTCGTTTTTTTGTCTAAATGCCTTCAATACATCTTTTGTGTTTGAGTAAATGTCGTACTGAATGTTCCTATTGGTGCTTGTTATTGACCATAATTCACGTATGTTTTCATTTATCGATGACTTTAAAGCTAAGCGTGAGACAGTTTGGCACTGTATAAACTTCGTTGAAGGTAGAATGACATTTAGACCAAATTTGTTGTAAGGGAGATAAACATTGCTTAGAGTTGCAGATATTGGCAGTTCGAGCCATTTTCGTATATATTTAGTAGCAATACCGTCCAAAGTCTCGCAAACCCATGTTTGAGATATATCAGTCATTGTGAAGTTCCATGAGATTTTCGAGAGCAAGTAGCGACTGTATAACAGGATTTTATTTCGGGGGTGCAAATGTAATTCATCTATTTTAGATATGATATTATTAAACAAGTCAATATATCCGATTGGTGTTTTTCATATATATATATATATATATATATATATATATATATATATATATATATATATATATATATATATATATATATATATATATATATATATATTATATATATGTTATATTATATTATATTGTAGGTTATATCTTATATATGTTATATATATTAAGCAAAAAGGTACATTTATATTTTAGATACTATTCAGAAAACATTTTTATAAATATTATGCTTTAGCAATATCTTGTAAATAGGTCATGCTAATAAAGCTCTTTCAATAGTCAATAGCCCAACCTTGAGGAAAGAAGAAATCAACAACTAAATACATTAATATACAAAGTTAGACACGAAATGGCCCCTTCTTCCTTAAGTAATATGCTTCAAAAAACGAACGAGGTCCATGAACACCAAACGAGACAAGCCAAACATGACTTTCTACCACCGAAGCCTAAAACAAATTACCTGAAAAAGGCATTTAGCTATAGAGGTGCAGTGGCCTGGAATAATCTACCAAGAGAAATTAAAAATTCTGAAACTGTTAATATTTTTAAAGCAAAACTCAAGATTATCAATTGAGAGTACATTTTAATATTGTTAGTATTTGTTACATTAGTGAGTAATATGCATGTTGAATTGAATAGTCTATATGTATACTGTAGATAATGTTATAAGATAGTTATTAAACACACGGCCTATTGGAAGATCACATTTTTCTTTTCCTTCTCTTTTATACATAATTAAATTAAATTTAAGTAGTTTGTGAAATAGTACCGTGTTTAAATAAAGTTTTATAATAATAATAATGAAAACTTTATTAAATGGATATTTAGCTTATATATACAATTGCAAATCTCACTGATATCAGGTAATTTACAACTGGCTACTTAAATCACTGATTATATATGCAAAAATTATACTATTAAGATAACAAAATGACAGTACAACGTTTAAACACTTAACAGTTCCGGATTCATCCATTCCTTGTTTCGACAACAAAATATATAATACGTTGTTCTGATTGCAATCGTCGTCATTCTTCTAATACAGTAATTCTGATGTTGCTTTTGAAAACCACAATCATTAAGCATTTCTATGAAAGTAGAACATTCTTTACTGAAAACACCAAGAGAACTAATCGAAAGATTTACAAATTTTACTGAGTTGAAATGTTCATTTTGTTCCCTAATTAATTCTTTATATTTTGATTTTTTACGCTCAACGTTTTTTTGAAGATTTGATTCACAGCCAACTGTAAGTTCAATATTTGCAAGAAATTTATCAATCATCAAATCACAGAGGATAGATTGTACCCGATGTCTCACTGTGTATCTATCCCTATGATTTTCGTGTCCGCGATTTTCGCGAGGCTATCACGCCAGATGACGCGTGCGACACTTACTGCCAAAATGGCGCTTACTGCCAAAATTCGTGATTGCTCACGTTTCATGGCGTGGATTACACTTACTGCCAAAATGGCGGCCAACGCGTGCTCATAAAAAATCGCGGACACAATTTTGGCTGAGTGAGTCATCTGGTATAATCTATCATCTGTGATCAAATCAAGAAACGTTTGCTATTTCGCTGTCGTCATACAGTCGTTATAATGCAAACTTTAAATTGGACCAATCAGTGTCCGCTATTCACGACCGTCCGCCATATTTTTGAGATAAGTGAGGATGACCACCCACCCAACACCCCAACACCGTTGGTGAGCCACGACCGCGTTCAGTCATTGATGAACTTTAGACTTCGCTAATGCTTTCGTTTCCCCGGGTGTAAATAGCCGGGGGGAATTAGTACCCTCGCCGGCTCGGGGACAATGAATATTTTATACGATACCTGGCATCACTTGTGCACAACGTTTGATCAACCATGGTTAGACCATCCAAAATTGGAAAGTTTTGCGGAGGGGCTTTATGAACGTTTAAATGTTTTAGAACGTTTAAATGTGCATCATTAACTGATGAAGAGAAAAAGCATCACTATTCATATACAGTGTATTTTTATTATACACATTTCATGTCTTTCATTTGTAGTGATGGAATGAATGCGATGCAAATTAATTATTAAATTAATTATTGGCTGATATTGTGGTCTAGTGAAAAGGTTCCAAAAATGGGTACAAGTTTCCATACTATTGTCGTTCTGATGTGACAGATACTAGAGTAACGGCAGGATATAGAAAGATTAAAAACTAGTTTATGGTTAGATTCTCATGTCTCGCGCACAATAAAGCTAGGGTTAGAGATGGGTTGTGATTACGGTCAAGATCAAAGAAATATATTTGTGACCGAAACAAGGATTTATTCATATCTACAATAATGGCGTACGTCACAACGATTAAGTTAGTGTTGAGCTTACAGTTACGATGGGTTATGAACTTACGAGATTGTATTTAAACTGGAGTTCTCAAATTTATTAGATACATTTAATATGTCAGAACATGTTAGTGAACCTACTCAATAGTCTGGTCACACACTTGACCTACTTATAACGAGACAAGGTTCGAACTTAATAAATGGTATATGTGTCCACACACCTTGGATAAGTGATCACAGTATTGTGCAGTTTAAGACCACCACAAAGAAACCGAGTGTTGCTCGGAAAACAATATCTTATCGACGATGGAAATCACTTGATGTAAACCAGTTTCGGCAGAGTATAGATGATATTGACATTCAATCTGTGAACTCGCTTTCTGATCTTGCTCTGTTGTACAACAGTGCCTTACGTGATCTTTTAGAAAAACATGTTCCCTTGAGAAGTAAAACTGTCACATTACACCCACAAGCTGAATGGTTTGATGCCAAGTTGCTAATAGAGAAGAGAGCAAAAAGAGAGTTGGAACGTAAGTTCCGATTATCAAATTCACCTGAAGATATCCGTCAGTTCAACGAGCACTCAGAGTATTACAGTCACTTGCTAGTTACGAGACAGAAATTTTACACAGATAAGATTGAGTCAAATCATGGTGATCAGAAAGTACTATTCCAAGTGTTAGATAAACTTTTACACCGTGAGAATCAACGACAATTTCCACCGCATGATAATCTTGATGATCTTACAAATATGTTTGCAGATTTTTTTGTTCGGAAAATTGATACAATTTGCTCTCAACTACATTTGGCTACTGTCGATAAACTGCTACGATTTGAATCTTCCTGTGAGACCGTTGAAAAGTTCGAATATTTTAGTTCAGTTTCTGAGCATCAGATTGAAAACATTATTCGGTTAACTAACAACAAATCATGTAAACTTGATCCAATTCCAACTTGGCTTTTGAAGCAATGTATTCCTGCCTTACTTCCGCTTATAACAAAAAATGTTAACTTGTCGTTGCATGATGCATTCATGCCTACCCTGTTCAAACAAACCTTTTTGACACCAATACTGAAGAATATTTCTCTCAGCACAGATGAAGAAAACGGTTTCTGCTGAAACTGCCTGGGTTAGGCTACACAATGATATTTTATCTGAGTTGGATGACAATAAAACTGTACTGTTGGTTAGCCTTGATGTGAGTGCTGCATTTGATACCATTGATCGTAGTATTTTGTTGCGTCTGCTCGAAAGTCGATTGGGTGTCTCTGGGCAGTGTTTGAATTGGTTGCGTTCCTATCTCAGCGACCGTACAACAAGATTTATTATTGATGGAAAACGTTCAGATATAAAACGTGTAAATTTTGGTGTCCCCCAGGGATCTGTCCTTGACCCGAAACTTTTTACACTATACATATTGCCACTGGGGGATATTGCACGCAAACACAATGTACAGTTTCATATATGTGCTAATGATTGCCAACTATATACATATCCTTTAAGTATGAAAATAGATTGGAAACCATCAATAGAATGGAATCTCTGATGCATGACATAAAAACTTGGATGACAAAGAACATGGTGAAGCTCAATGATGATAAAACAAAGTATCCTGGTTTGACAGGTCCTCATCGAGACTGCTCTGATTTTCCTTGCTTGTCAATCGAAAACGAAAGTATTGTTAACTCAGAATCAATAACTCTCTTAGGAGTAAAACTCGATGACAAGCTTACCTTAAAGAGTCATGTTCGTAATGTTGCGAAAAGTTGTTTTTTCAAGCTCCGCAATATGCGTAAGATTAGAAAATGTATTACTGAAGATGCAGCAAAAATAATGGTACACAATATGATTACATCACGGCTTGACTATTGTAATGCTATTCTATATGGGTTACCAAATTGTGACTTGGACAGGTTGTATAGTGTGCAAAAGCTGGCTGCACGATTAATCACAGGAACAAGAAAGTACGACCATATTACACCGGTATTGGACAGACTCCACTGGTTACCAGTGAAAAAGAGAATAGAGTACAAAATTCTGTTACTTGTGTTTAAATGTCTCCAAGGAACTGCCCCAGAGTACTTATCTGAACTGTTAAAAAAGCGTGAAAACAAAGGCACTAGAGCAGATGACAAAAACCTTTTGGTTATCCCTAGGTTTAAGAAGGTTACCATATTTTTAATGTCGTATGAATGTAATGCGCGTTACAGTGCTGTAGATTTGGCGCTATAGAAATTCTGTGTATTATTATTAGTATTAGTAAGTTGTTAATGTGGAAAGATGAGGCCGTTTTTTATATATTGTCAAATAAAGGAGCAAGTCAGCATTTACTACTGATAAGTATACTAGTTTATTATTAGCCATATGAAACTGCAGAATTGGTAAGACAGGGCATTTTTTAACTATATAACTGGGGAGGGACAAAGCCCCCAGCCCCCATGGTGTCCCCCCCCACTCAACCAATTCGCCCCCGCCAGACAAAGTCCCTTTTCTCTAAAATATGAGCAAAACATGGACTTTAGAAGGGAGGTTTGATATTCTACTAACTGAAATTTGCTTTGTGAATCTTATGTCCTGTCTTTTATTTGTAATGCTAAACATTGTGTTGTAAATACCTTATTAGATTTTAAACATTTCCCAGTGGATTGCATTTCCTAGACCCTATAGATTTGAGTTGTTGGAAGGCTCGGCAACGGGACAATTTTGCCCCCCCCAAAAAAAAACCCAATTGATTTCGAAACTAGAAGTATTTGAAATCGTATATATATAATCAAATATCTGTAAACGATGTTTTGATCACAACATTTCTCGTAATAATCCATCCTGACTTGCGGATACTATAGACTCACAAATCATAATGAACAAAGTAATGAAAGGGCCTAACAAAAGAGGTAGAGAAGATTTTGAAAATGCCATTTCCGACGATTTAGAGACGCAAAATTTTCAAAATTTTCCCGCTCTGTGCCAACCATGGTGGCGCTTCGTGGGAGTCGGGCCCTCTTAGTCTAAGTTTATCAAGCTGGTTCCCTGAGTGACCAAGTTGTGGTATCTACATTAACACAGGGGTCATCCTAAGGCCTCTCATTTTCCAAAATGGGTAGTTCTAAATGTAAAATGGGTAGTTCTAAAACTTAAAATAGGCAGTTCTAAAATCCAGTTTTTGGGCTTTATATGAAAATTAATTATACATTAAGCACCCATACAGATATTTAAGGCAAAAATAAATCCAGCTTTTACTCTGTAAATGCATAAAATGACCATTCTGGACTTTTAAAATTCACAATTTTCTAAGGGAGCATTGCCCCAGGACCCTCCTAGCTGTTGAGGTATCTAATACGCCATGGCAAAAAGGTCTCATTGAAGGGGAGTTTCTGGCGCGTTGATTAATGCATGAACCTTGTCTGCCACATAGTTAGCCTGTGTTCACTATACCTCTGCTCTTGTCGAAGTGGGCAGTTCTAAAATTTTCTTAGGATGACCCCTGCATAAACATACTATGCAAGTGCATAACTGAAGGTTCTGTCTATCTACAGCATAATGTAATGCTGTATATCCAAAAATCTGTTTCAGAAAATGCAGGGAATTGCAGTCCTAGAGATAGAAAAATGCAAACATTTTCTGGGGCAGAATACCTCCAGCCCCCCCACCTTATTATTAAATGCGATACCACACCAAACTTTTTTTTACCAACAAACCATCTATCATTTCTCCACACTCGGTATAGTATGGTCCCTTTTTGTAGATGCCACCTCCCCCCCCCCCACTGAAAAATTCTTGAAAAAAGCTCTGTACTAAGGGAAAGTACATTTATTACACCGAGGAAGGGGGATGAAGATGTCTTTAAAACAGCTCATATTTTTACAGGGCCCCTGTTGAGGTTATCGGTGAATTTCGATGCCCCCTCCAAGTTTTTAAAATTTTCAATGCCCCCCCCCCCCGCTTCTAATATTCGGAATCGAAAGAGTACAATTCGGAATTCTCTCTTATCATAGATACAATTTGCAGTTCCTCATAATGTCTGATATACTCAAGCATGTGCTTCTCCTCAACAAAACTACCGATCTGCTGCTTTTGCTGCGATGGCACTGTCTTTAAAACATTTTAAATTGGCTCTAGGGGTGAAATTATCAACAGGTTGTTGTTGTCCATCATTCAGCGTATTCGGAGTCTTGAACACGTTCATGTAGTGGCCAGGATTTTCTGGATAAGGGTAATGTGCTGGAACCTTACAGTATGTCGCCCCCACCCAACGTATCTCCCGGCATCTGTTGCAAATGTCTTTCTATGCCTGTCAAAAATGCATGCAAAAGTGCCAGTATGCTTCAATTTCTTTAATTTCTATCCCGTTTGTACGAAATATCCCATAAACATAGAACATATCATTCTCGCAAATCGTATATGCTTTTTGTTTTTGGAACTGCTACTTTTTGGCACGTAAATTACTTCACAAACCTGGTGCCAAAAAAAATTGAAATGAGCTATAGGTGATTTCATGTATCCATTTAGAAGAGCAGACTAAGGATATCTTAAAACTGAAATCGGTTTCGAATACAACCATCAGGGACGTAGCAAAGCATCTGACGTTTGGGGTGGGGGGATGTCAGAGGATTATACGTGTAATAATTATAATAAAGCTTTTTGTGATTGATTGGCACTCTTATACTAAGTTTTGGGAGAAAAGGGGGGTCTGGGGGTCCTCCCCCAGAAAATTTTTACATTTTCGAAGCTCTAGGACTGAATTTCTGGCATTTTCTAAAGCTAATTTCGCAAACAAATTGCACGTAAATTGACTGTATTTTACAAAAATGGTTATCATTTCACAAAAATAATTACTTTATTACGCAAATTTTACCTGAAACTGATGTAAAAATTTTAACTTTAATTTGTTGGGGTCAAACCTTTGAAAAGTTTAGAGCCCCCCCTTCAGTATATCAAGAAGAGCCCCCCCTTTAATGCCAGAAAATATTTCGGAGCCCCCCCTTAACATCTTCATCCCCCCCCCCTCGGCATAATAAATGTACTTTCCCTAAGATGGAAATTTTTAGCATTTACAGAATATCAACACTTATGCTACAGATAATAGAGAATGCAAATAAATAACCTGGAGTGCAGGAAAACCTAGGTATAACCACAGTCGCTTTTCGTTCAGTTTTGTTGCTCCCCTTCGGGCACTACTTTAAATTCACATGAATCTATAGATTTTTATACGCTGAGTACGAATTCACTTGTTGTCGCTCGCACAAACCTGCAGTTTGTTTTTATTTTACGATCGAACATCAACATCTTTTATTAAAATTTCCGCCATTTTGTTCAGGAAACTTCATGTTATATACAATTATTGTACTAGTTCAAGTCTCTTAGCAGGGGGGGGGGGTTGCACGCGGTATTACGCATTTTTATCATTCTTCTGAGGAAAATATACGTACAGAAATAAAAATATAGATATTTTTTCACAATATTAAAATGCAAAAGGTAATAATACATGTTTGTATATAATCAGGAACTAATCTACTATTCTTTATTGCACCAACTTTTGGGTTTTTTGCCTCACCTTGATGTGAAATTGCAAAGACTGTCACTATATCTATATCCACAAAGACTCACTTGACTTGTCCTTGGTAAAGTTGTTTATTTTATTTATTACTGAAATTATGTACATAATTTTAGCCTTACAATGTGAATAGGCAATTTTTCTTTCAAATTTTTGTTAACAATGAATAAGGAGCACAATATACTTGTTGTTTAATTAATGTTAGACCTATTTGTTGTTTAGTATAAAATGTTAGACCTAGTCACCTAGATAATTTATTAACACAAATAGACCATTGCCCATTAGTAGCAGTTGACCTCAATCAAATTAGCTCATCCATTTAATAAATCTGCACATAACGAGTTCCGTCACAGTTAATAGAATAAATGGTTTAGCTGAAACTCATTATTCCAGAGTGCAGAGTAGGGCAGTTTCCAACAGGATCTTGGGTGCGCAATCAGGCCGCACCTGAAGTGCGGGTGCGCAAAACTGCCCAAAAATTCTCAGGTGCGCCTGCTCAAGTGCTCCATGAAAGAGTTGAAAGGGTTGAGGGGCACCTAGTTCACAAGTGTATTTATCAATACCTGTA